TATGAATGACTGGCCAAATCTTGAGGACCAATCTAATCAAACCAGGCACCGCATCCCTGTTCATCTCGGTGCAGCAGAAATAACCCTTCGAGCTGGGGCTGGGGCTGAGGCTGGGGAGAGGACTTGTGATTGGGACTCGGTAGCGTCACCACACTGCCCAATTCTATTCCACAGGTCCCTGTGCTCCTAGTGAATGGTGTTCCCCAGAACTGGGCAATCTTGTTGCCTGCTTCTTTACAACCCACCTCAGGAAGCACCATTAGTAACATTTTTAACTGTTTTTCTGCTGGTCTACTGTGGTCAGGTCTCCTGCCCACCTGATAGGCTGATTCCCCTCAACTAAACTGGCCATCTTAATGCATCTAGAAAAGCCTTTAAGTTTTCTCTTTCATAAAGGTTAGGAAGCCCCAAGCATAATTCTCTTTCCTTGGGGTATGAACTGCAACCAACTGTTTTGAGTAGATATCTGGATAAGTGACTAAGTATCTGATGGATAACTAGGCAAGGCAGCACCATGTGAAATCCTTGCTTCCCAGTTAGCTGATATAAATCCACTTGCTATGAGTTCAGATCATGTTTGGGTAATCTTTTCTTTAAGAAAATTTGTGTTTATTCTTTTCCACAAAAATTGAACTCTGGAAGTCAAAAGTACATGTGGTTAATCCTATGCAGAGCCCTGGCTCAAGATATTCGCCTCCTGTTTCTTTGTTATCCATCTCCGATCTTAACAAATGTGTATGTAAATGTTTTACACATTGAAATTAAAGATATTTGATAAAAATAAAATCTTATTACCTTGAAAAAAAGTGACTAGGTATTTGAAAGAAAAACTGATTTGCTAAGAACCAGGTAAAAGAACCATGGGAACATTCTTAAAAATGGACACAAATGGCCAGGCACAGTGATATACTCCTGTAGTTCCAGCCACTCTCGAGGCAGAGGCAAGAGGATTACAAATTGAAGACCAGGTTTGGCAACTTAGTGAGAACCTGCCTAAAATAAAATAGGCTGGAGGTGTATCTCAGGAGCAAAGCACTTGAGGCCTTGGGTTCAAAACATTCACAGACAAGAAAAATAAACAAACAAACAAGACACAGCTTTCAGCACATATTACTTTTTAAATTCCTTTACAGAGGGGGGAAAGAAGTCACTACAACCTGAAAAAACAACTCCGCTTCCAAGGACCCAGAGAGCTGGCGCCATCACTGAGGCGGCATATACCTAATCTCATACTCCTGTTTAAAGAGCACCTATTAGGTGATCATCTAGTAGATACAAACCAAGTACTTTGAAAGCAATCTCAAATATTAAAATATAGGGAATGTATATCCACTGTGGTTACTTCTGCAGAGTTGTCCTGGCAATGGGAACATCTGCATTTCCTGTTCAGATTTCAGAGTGGTTGCTGGGGAAAGCGACCACGTCCCCATTTCACAGCATTCTGCACAGGCACTCATCAAACTTTCACTTGAACTTTTTTTTTTTGAGACAGGGCCTTGCTATGTTCAAACTCATAGCCATCCTTCAACCTCAGCGTTCCAAGTGCTGGGATTGCAGGCATGTGCCGCTGTGCCTTGCCTACCTGAATGTAATGTGGTCATTTTCAGATATATTTTGAAGCAAAAAGGCCAGTTCTCTCAGTATTCAAATGCCTCTGCTAGGGAGCTCTCTTCACATTACTTATTAATAACTTTGCTTCACCTATGTCACGAGAATTCTCTCTAAAAGATTAATCATTTGTGTCCAAATGTTTGAGTAAAGAACCCAAGAATATAGAAGACCAAACAACAAGGATTCAATTAGACTCAAATCCTACTGAGTGTATACAGGGACTTGAGAAGCAATGTAACTGAGAGGACAAGAAACAGTACTGAGAAGGCCTGTTCTTAGCTCTGTAACTTTCCTGTTTCCCATTAAAACCACTGCTTTCCAGCCTTAAAACACTTTATTCAACTGAAATCTTATGGAGAAGAGAAATAAAACAGAACATTATAGTTTTTTTTCCAAACTGAAGCTGTGGCATAAAGTGGAAGGAAGTCACATCGCTACCACAAGCATACTCCAGAAATGGCCAAGAGGGCTCCTTAAAGTTCAGCTTGAAGAAGAAAAAACACACTACACATAGCTGAAGGTTCTAAAAAGATCTTAACTTATTCCTGTTGCTTCCTCAACTGGAGTAGGTGGAAATAACTTCATGTAATATACTTGATGCTAGTCCTAAGTGCTATGTGATATTAAATTTAGAAATCACACACCAGCTTATTTTAGGTCAACACTGCAGGGTCTAAGTCAGTGATGGCTAACCTTTTAAAGCTTTCAATGACATAAACAGCCTGTTATGGCATGTATACCATCACTGGTCTAAGCCATTTATGAATAAAATTGAAAGATAAACTGTAACCAAATTTTGATGCTTGACTGTGTGGATGCAATCTGTAACTAAAATAAGGGGAGAACAGGTATTTTTAACAAACTGTCTCCTAGACTAATAGGCAGAAAGAGGCAATGGTTACAAGATGCTGGACACTCCCCAAACTTTAATTTTTTTCTTTGGCGGAACCGAGGATTGAACTCAGGCCTTTGCGCTTGCCAGGCAAGCACTTATTCCACTGAGCCATCTCCCCGGTCTCCCCAAACTTTAAAAGTCCTACACTGTGCAGCAGCACCACTCATGATCCTCAGTTAGTCAGTCAGTCAGTCATCAGATCAGTCTGGATCTACAAGTCTCAGTGATAAAGCTATTTCCTTTTGCCAGGTTGAAAGACTGCACCTTCTGGCATGGCAGAGCATGAACACAGCACATTCCAAAGCCATGCAATGGAAGTGCCCATGCAACAATTCAAACCCAACCTAGCACAACTTGAACACTCTTGAGCAAGGGCAAGTCCTCAGGTGGGGAGGAGTTTTTAATATATTCACCGGCCTATGCAACCAGGTTGCTATCCAGGTGACTTATTTTGCCATAAGAGCTAATCATACCTCAAAATTGATTTACTGAGCTTCCTATGGTGATGTATTATATTTAAATAAGGTCTCATACACATACATCTTAAAATAACTGGGCACTTTTCCCAATGCTGTTTTTCCTTTTAACACAGCACAACTTCAAATACTTAAGAATTTGAGCAACTTCAAACATTTTCTCTCATTATTCCCTTCCAAGTCTTATCCACCTAAAAAGAGAGAAAAACAAACTATCACCTAGAAAAACAGAAGAACTAGTAAAACTAGATTTGGGCTGAAGGACACTACTCAAATGACCCTGGTTTATTTGTGCAAAGAGCTTCAGAACACTATCCTAACATTAAATTTGCTAGTATGAACATCAGTAAACAGACACAAAGAGGTAATTATAAGCTATCAAGAGTGGAGGAAACAGGAGTTACCACGTAATTGCCATTGTTTCAATCTTTGTTAATACTTCTTCACCTCAAAACAACTGTCAGCCAGGGTACAATTAACTCTCCTTACTGCAAAACATTGGCAAAATTAACTTTAAGTCATCTAACACAGTGCCACAAGCAGTGTCCGTTGGCCTTCTAAGTTGTTCACCTTTCAGAAGAATTTGTCCAAAAGAAACCAAAGTCTGAGGAAAAATTCACTGGTACCCTAGATTAAAAGGCTGCCTCAACTCCAAGATTTCAAATTCACTTAGATTTGCAGATTCTTTCCCCAAACACAACTAGTGGCCATTGTAGGAGTCAAAGGCTTCCCCTCCTACCCATCCACCCCCTTTCAAAAATTAGAAAAGAGCAGCCAGTCTCCAAACTGGCTGATGAAATTTCAGCCTACAGAATATTTTCATACTTGAGTTACATATAATAAGCCATTGAAATAAAGATGAATAGTAGTAGCCTAATAATTCATGAGATAGTGCAAGGTCCTGACTTAGATCCCTGGTACCAAAATTAAAAAAAATAACTATGAGACAGAGAACATACATGCATACACACACCACCTACCTCACTATCAATTTTCTACTCCTTTGAAAAACTCTATGGTATAAAAGGTGGAGTCTATTGTTGACTGGTCCTAACTATTCATTTTTAGTACTTTCTTTATTTGCTTGGTTAAGATTTTGTCTTTGCATTCAAGGTAAAATTCACTAACTTAGTACCTGAGTCTAAGCAGTGATGGCGTATTTCTAGAGCTTTCAATGATAACAAACAGCCCACTGTGGTACCTGTGTCATAGGTTCCCCACCACTGGGAGCCATTCACTGTACCATGTTTAGCACAGGACTGCCCCAAAAGTTCCATTCAGGTTGGTTTTGACAATCTCATCTACAGGTGTTACTCGAGTACTAGGATGTAAAGCAGATGACAGCCTTCTGTTTCTGATCGTCTCACCAAACACAAAAAAGAGGTTTAACCTTTTTTACTGAGTTTAGTCCCAAAACCTCAAGCAACACTTAAATCTCTTATCTACTGTTTCAAAAGGCTGATTCACTTAACACACTAAACACTGTTGTGGATTCAAAAGAAGAAAAAGCATATTCCTCATGTTTCAGTCCACTGTGAAGTCTCAGAGTGCCAGGTCAAAGAGCCATAATTAGGTGTCTCAAGTGGACAATCTAGTCTAGGTAAGCCTCAAAAGCACTGGACTATTAGAGATGAGTGTCCTCAACAGAAGGCAAAAGTAGGCTACCTCCCTTGGTTACATGCCAACCTAAAGATGCCAACATAGTGGAAATGAGCCCCACAATGGTCATTATCTATTGTAATCCACTGAATGAACTTTTAGCACCAACCTACATCTCAGCTAAGTGTTATGAGTCATCAGAAGGATGGACAAGAGTGGAATTATTGCAACATAAACTTTGCTTCCCCACAGAAACATAACTTTAAACTGAAATCTTGATGGTCACCTTTGTAGACAAACAGAAGCATATTATTAGCATCCTTCAACCTTAAGTTCAGAGAAGGAAAACTCATTCTACCACACAGAGTAGTTACACAATTTTAAATAGCAGCATAAGACAAATAAGGAAAAATGTGTACCCTCAATTGAATATCCTGTTTAGTTGGAAACACCTAGCAGATTTATATGCCAGAAAAGGCCCAGGTGATGATCATTTGCTCTTCTTCCATCCTCAGCTGGCTGTCCTTTTCAAATATAACAGCATCTGCAACAAATAATAAATGATATGGGCCAGCAAGATAGCTCAGCGGACTAAGTGCCTGCTCAGGCAAGTGCAGGGCCTGCGGGTTGATCCTGGCACCATGGCCACACCAGCCCTGCTGCAAAGGCAGGCTGAGCCAGCCAGAGTCTGAGGTTAGTGGTGCACACCTCTAATCCCAGTGCTGGGGAGGCTGAAAACAGGAGGATCATTATGAGTCAGAGCTGCGCAGTGAGGCCCCGTAACAACCAAATACAATTAAAGAAGAAGAGGAAGAAAGTAGTAGTAATAGCAGTGGTGGTGGTGGTGGTGATAGACCCACAGCTGGGCATGGTAGTACATGTTTGTAATCCCAGCACTTAGGAGACTGGGGCGAAAGGATTGCTGCAGATTCAAGGCAAGCCTGAATTACACACCCAGACCTGCCTCAATCTCCCCCCACCAAAAAAAAAAGGATACAGAATTAATCAAAAAAGGAGCCTTACTACTTCCTTTCCCTTCTTGCTCTGCTTTTTCCATCCTGTGGCTTTTCCCTCTACCCTTCTTGGCTCTGAATCTTACAGCCCACTACTGTCCCCTTCTTCCCAGTCCCTGAACTGGCCAACCTAATTAAACTAGCTTCTGCACTAGCTGTTCCCCGAATTTGTAAGGTTGCTCCTCTTACCATGATTGGCTCCTTTTCTATTTAAAGTTCAGTGAGAGGGACTGGGATATAGATCAGGGGCACAGCATCTACCTGGCAAGTGCAAAGTACTGAGTTCAATTTCCACTACCAAAAAAATAGTGTGTCACCTCCATTTTATTGTTTTATTTATCTATTTATTTTTTAAATTTATGTGTGTGTGTGTGTGTGTGTGTGTGTGGCCTGCTCAGCCCACCAGGGGGCGGGGCTGGCTGGCATGTGGTGCTGGGGGATTGAACTGCGGTCCCTGTGCTTTGCTAAGTTTGTTCTAAGTAGGTGCTTTAGACCACTGAGCCATCTCACCAGCCCTATTTTGGTTTTTTTTGAGACAGGATCTCACTAGATAGTTCAGAATGGCCTTGAACTCACTATGGAGCCTAGGCTGGCCTAGAACTCACAATCTTCATGTCTGTTTCCTAAGTACAGTGATTACAGAGGTGTACCACCCATGCCCAGCTAGGTCTTTCTCCTATCACATCACTTACTTTCATCAGTACTTAAAATAGGATTTGCTTATTATCTGTTTCTGTCCCTACCCCCATTCAAAGTTCCTTGAGAAAAGACCTTTCGCTTATGTTAGCCCAGTGCCCAAAACACCAGCTAGCACTTAGTAGTCAGCTGATAAATGCTTGTTTAAATGAATGAATTTTGAGGTTTTTATTCAATAGAAACTATCAAAGTTATGAATAATAACAGTAGTCTTCTTTCATTGTAGTTTTGTGAGTTGCCTAGTTACTTGTACAATCAAGGCATTAAATATTGTTTTATCAGGCCTGAAAGCCCTGATAAATAGGACAGGACTCTTCTCAGCATCAGAAGAACATCTGTTATGATAATTCTTCTAGCAATTTGCTTATCAAGCTTAGTTACAGATGGACAGGATTTATGCACATGTTCTGATCAAAGGACCACTAAAATGTTGGCATTCGCTCTCAAAGTTCTTAAGATAGTGTCAGATTTGACAGGATTTCTACAATAATAAATACCAAAACAGGAATCATTACACTTCATTTTGAAAGTGATTCTTTTTAATGCAACAAAATATCAACAAAGAATCCTTCCTAATCTTTGCTTTGAATTCCTTTCACATCTATTATTGGTTTGTATTCTTTTTTCACACAAAACAGATCACATCTGTCATTTAAGACCACCTGGACACAAAGAATCCGCTAAGCAAATAAGATGAAAATCAGCCCCAGTCCATTGTGTCACTGAAGAGCTGTGTGCCAGACATACAAACGCAGAGAGATAAAAAGCTATTGTCCAATTGTAGAAACAAAAAAAGTAATATGGGGTTTTCTCTTCTCTGAAGTGCACCATGAAGTGTGGGTGGTGAGAAACATAGAAATCCAGAATTAGACTAACATTAAATCGTTTTGGAAAGAGTTGACAATATGTAAATTTTCATAAAGTATTTAGAGCAAGAGACTTTGATTCTTGGGCTATGATACCCATTCAGGATTCCTTGCAAGGGCTGCAGAATTCTAGTATTCATAAAATAAAATGTTCATTATAATGGGGAGCTAAGAGGCGTTGAGAGAAACTCCCAAAGTGAGACAGCTTGTAACAGGAGTATTACAAGCTTGCAGTAAGATCAGGATAGAGGCTGAACACCAAATTCAAAAGAGGTAACCAAGGTACTAAGTGACACGGGGGGGGGGGGGAATTTGCTACGAATGCCACTCAGCCAGAGTGAATTAAAGTGGAAATGAGGGGTGTGTGTTGGGGGAAGGATGCGGGGGATGGAAACACAGTTCTACATTTATCACCCCATCCCACTTCCTATACAGGAGACAGGCAAACCCTCCAGCCCCATTACCTCAGACACAGATGGTTATCGCTTACAGCAAAGGTGCACAGAAAGGCCTTCGGGTCTGAGCCCCTTAATTCCAAGGCTGTTAACGATTAGAGAAGGGTGGGGGTGGGGAGGGAAACGAGGGCGGAGGGAGCTGAGATTCGCCCACCACCACCCCGCGGGCTCCTACCTCTCGGAGCTAGCCGGGACTTGGGGCCGGAGTCGGCACCCCTCCGGGGCAGCTCCGGCCCCACAGCCTCAGGCCCGGGGTTGAGTGAGGGGTGCTGGCGGTTGGGAGGCGGAGAGAGTGGGTAAGTTTTCGGAACCCTGCGGCTGACACGCCACAGGCTCCCGTCACAGCCTCTTCTTCCAGAGAGACCGGTCCAGACAAGACGCCGATTTCCACTCCTCCCTTCTACTCCTCTTTTCTCGAAGGAACCCAACCCCCGCCCCTTCATCTCTGAATACTCCCCCCTTCGCCTCAATTCCCCCCCTCCCAAACTCACAGCTGCTCCAGAGGTTCCTCCAGTCAAACCCTTTCTGGAAACGACGGCGGCCGGGCGGATCCAAACCACCTACCATCCCCGCTCGCGTTTCCAGGTTCCCTACCCCCGCCGCCGCCGTCTCTTCTTCCACCCCTGCCGCCGCCTCCTCTTCATCTGCGGCCCACCGGCGGTGGCCGTCCCCAAGTCCCGCCCCCTCCATCACCTCCTGCATCATCACTTCCGGTAACCCCGCCGGCCGCCAGCTCCGGGAGTTGGGAGGGGGAGGGAGGGAACGGATGGACGTTACGTCACGACGCACGCAAAGACAGTACGAAGCCGTCGCCAAGTAAGGGCAAAGACGTAGCCCGTGAAAGGAAGGGCTGGGCGGAGTGAGCTAGACCATTTTTTGATTGGAATGGGGGAGAAACATAGCCAAGGGGGTAAAGGAAAAATAGGGAGACGATTAGAGAGGCTATATTGTTGGATATGACGAAGAATGGGGTGGCGCAGAAACTTCATAAAGGTTCTAGTCTACTCCTGACCTGCAACTAATGCTCCACAGAAGTCCTTCCAGTGGTTTAGTCTGGCCTGGTTTACCGGACCTGCGGATGCTCAGGTTCAGCAAAACGCCGGGTGCCTCCTCCTCCCAGCCGGCTGGGGCCGCGGCGCGTCTGTGGGTGGGGGAAGGTAGGCTCGACGCAGGATGAGTGTGAGGGATGGAGACTGCGAGTCCTGGCGTGGGCACTTGGGGCAAGGGATGGCTCCGCGGAGACTAGGTTGGGGTGGGGTGGGGGTGGAGTGTTGCTACGAGACGTGCCTGTGTGACCCCAGCTTCGCGAGGCGGCGTGGTGTCGCTGCCCCTGACCTCTGGGACCTGCCTCCGGGAAGTGGCCCGCGGGCCAGGGAGGGGAGGCCGGTTTAGGGTCCATCTGGAGACTTTTCTTTTTTCTGATTTCTTTCTTTTTATTGAGACATTTCTGAACCTTTTGAATCCCCTAATGTGAATGGGAGAAGGTAAGAGCAATTGCACGGTAAGAGATGGTCTAAACTAGTTCATATGCAAAAACGAAGACCTAAGACAGTGAGAGCCAGCCGCATTATTTCCGTCGATCAACAAACTTGAGAATAAGGCTAAAGCTTTCCTATTTTTCATTCGAAGAGGAATGAGTTAACAAGTAAACCACTAGGTATCAACAGGTGAGAATGTCTTCCAAAGACCAGACAAAGTAGTAGATGTGGGGAAAGACCACCCTAAATCTGGAATGCTGGCCAGAGGGGGGGGGCCCTAAGTTGGGGGGGGCCCTAAGTTGGGGGAATCCAAGGAAAAGGGGAAAGAAAGGCAGAGAATGAGCTGTCCAAGCGAAGGGAAGAGCCAGTGAGACTGAAGCAGAAAGGGCAAAATGTTTTGTCTTAAAGCTGGAGATGAGGTGGGTGGGACCTGATCAGGGCCTGTTTTTTCAAGGGTAGAGTTTAGCTGTTGTTCCCAACAGATTTGAAGGATAGTAACGTGACCTGATTGACGTTAAAAAAAAAAAAAAAAATCATTGTCTGCTGGGTAGAGAAAGATAGACTGTTAAAAGACTGTGCTCATAGGCCAAGGAAAGGTGACTGCTGGTGTTGAAAGAGTCATTGCTGTGGAAATGAAGAGAATTTGCTTCAGAATATATTTTGGAGGATCAACTTTCAGGACTTGCTGCGGTATTGTGGGAGAAGGCAAAACAGTTTGGAAAAATATTAGTACTATGAAAAGTCATTAATAATCCAAAAGAAGGACTGGCCAGATAGCTCAGTGGACTAAAGCGCCTGCTGAGGCAGGCATCGGGCTGTTTTGGATCATGGTGGTGGCTTGGGCCTGTAATCCCTGCATGGGAGGCTAAAAACAGGAGGATCTCAATGAGTCCTATCTGTGTAGTGAGACCCTGTAGACCCTGTACTAAATACATTTAAAAAAAAAAAAAAATCCAGAAGAAGATGTCAAGAAGTTAACAAACTTAAGGAAAAAGTCAATTTGGGGCGAATGAATGTGGAAGTCTATTTCTAGATCACATTGGAAGAAGGGTCCCAAACTCCCCCAGGCTCATAAAATTTTGAGATTGCTCAGAGAAGAAAAAACTGGCAAAGAAGTCTGTTGACATAGACAAGACCTCAAATTTAAAAGTTAGGCAGGCCCTTTTATATCATTAACACAGTCTGTGAGGCCCAATCTCAAAAGGCCTGGCTGAAACCTCTTCCGCCCTCTTCTCCCAGATGTCATTGCTTTTGGATTTGTGCACAGGTAACTTGAGACCTTTGTAGAAAGCACATCAATTTGTATTTGCATATTTGTCTTTCTCATGGATTGTATCTTCCGGCTTTAGTACAGACCCTTGCCTATAGGTTCCAACATGGTTTTGACTGGGCACGAACACAGTGTTCATAAGGTATCTGCCATGGAATGTAGTAGCTTTAGTAGTTTTTGTATCTGCTGCTCCGACCATTAGTACCACAGTTGTCATACACAAAGGGTATGAGAAAAAGAATCAGAAAGCCTGGGTTTCACTTTTGGATTTGCTACTGACCAACAGAGCGGAGTAGATTAGAAGTTACAAAATGGTAAGACAGCCCCTGCAAACATTGGTCAATCTACTAAGTAATGTACATTCTTTTAATTTATTTGCTCACATTTAAAAATTGGACACAAAATCCAGATTATCACTTTCATTTGAAAAATAACAATCTCACACCAGTCTGAGGTTCCTAAAGGTTACTACATAACAAGAGTCAGCTAAGGCTAAAGAATTGCTTTCCCTTTTTATGTGACTTACTTCTCAAATGTACCAAGGCCTCCTTTCTTGCTCTACTTGGCTGACCCCAGTAGGCTTTTGTAATTCTTAGTCTAGAGCTATGTGCCTGCAAGCCACATGTAAATTTTAAATCACTTCCGTTTATCAAATACATCATATTTCAGATGCTCAAAGCATTGTTTTGGCTGAGCTGGGGATTGAGCCCAGGGCCTTTCCACTGAGCCACCTCCCACCGCTCTTTTGATTTTTGAGATGGGTTGTTGCCAAGTGGTCTGGGCTGGGCTGGAACTTGCAGTTTTCCTGCTTTAGGCTCCAGAGTGCTGTTGTTGCAAGAATGTACCACCATGATGAGCAGAGAACCATTCCTTTACAGGACTAGAGAAATGTGGGTACTCCTTAAGTGCAACTTATTCCCTGCATGTAAAAATAGATAATCGTGGCTCCTACTCTAAAAGGATTTGGTCTAGTAAGGGGTTCCTGTACCTCTACAGTTCAGAAAAGTTGCTTGTTCAATAGTTGATAGGTGGAGAGTACTTGGAATCTTGTGAAGACATGGTCCCTGTGCAGTGTTGGATCCCCAGTCAGATGCTAGGAAGCCCTAGCTGTATCCAGTGTGTAATCAAAGCCCTTTAGCCAGTTTCCTAATCCAGTTTCTTAGAAGATTGTCACAAAGCTGGAATCTAAATTAGTGTTTTGGCTTTCTGACTTTCCTAGTTGCTATGAAGAATGGAACATTCTAGCTAGTAAGATTCTGATTGATCTTTAGCACTGGTCTATTTCCACCTGTTCCAAATCATCTCTGACACCTCCTATTTCTGGTGACTGGTTTATACCACCTCTGACTGACCCTTGCCTTTGTCTCTTAAAAATATGCTGATAAGAAAACAGGTACTTCAATTTGTTTTGTATTGAGGGACCAAAACTTGATTTCTAGTTAGAACTTTTGTCCCTGGTGATACAGTGTATCTATTGCTTGATATACCTTGGTCATTGTAGTCTGATTGGAATTCAACTATACAGGTATAATGTTGTGTGCTGTAGTGTTGGACTGCTACACAGATGATTCTAACTTCTCAATGGTTCGACTTACATTTTCTTAATTTTTTTTTTTTTTTTTTTTTTTTTGCGGAACCAGGGATTGAACTCGGATCCTTGCATTTGCCAGTCAAGCGCTTATCCTACTGAGCCATCTCCCTGGCCTTTTTACTTTAATTTTTTTTTTTTCTTAACTTTATAGTGGTGTGAAAGTGATCCAAGTTCTTAAGAAGCCATACTTTGAATTTTGACTTTTCCCTCTACCAATGATGTGTAGTACTATAAATATTCCTTCCCAGGGGGTGGTCCTGGTCAGCGCACTAGCTGTGGCCCCCCATCAGCCATCCCAGTAAACACCAAGGTTGTGATGACTAGATGGTTGGGTAGGTAAGTAGGTTATTGCATGCATTTTCCACTTGAGATGTTTTCAACTTAATCACAGATTTATCAGGATTTAGTACCGTTGCCAGGTAAGACACATCTGTGTTTAAGAGTATTTGTCTCCTATAATCTTGTTTGAGATAGTTATTATAGAAGTCTTTCAGATATTAGTATTTAGATTTTGCCCCTTCGTCTGAAAAATTTTCATATTATAGAATCTAACCTAACAGCTTTCCCCTTCTCTATCCTCTCTTCCCTGCCCTCTATCTCTGATGTGCCATTTTCTCACTTTCTGTGTAAAAAAATGCTGTTTCAGAGAGTAGCTGTGGAATGGATGATTTAAGAATGCCCCACAAGCATACCCTGAGATATACAAAACTGTGTGGCATTATGCTTCCTTTTTGGATTCTAGTAACCAAAACTTAATTCAAGATAGAAAAGAAATCCATGGTGTAGTGGGCATTGTTGACTGATAAAAGGGAAGGACAGGTATGTGTAGGGCAGTTTTCATCTGAAGATTATTTGATTGTAGTGACAGTGATATTGTATAGGATACTGGTGTACACTGAAAAGTGCTCTGAAGAATAAAGAGTAATAAAGGAAGAAGAGTAGGAAGGAAAGCCTGCTGTTCGCACTTGTGTTGTATTTGCAGTAAGAAGTATGCACTGTGTTCTAAAGATAAAGGGTGTCTCCAACAGGATTATTTACTCATACTGAAGAAAAATAGCCTTTTACTGTACAGGGATTATTAATAATCAGAGGGAAACAGCTTTAGGAAAATCCACTATTACCAAAAAGCCATAAATTCAACAGGCTATGCACTTTTTTCCTTTCTCTATGCAAGCAAACCTAGCATTCATAAATGAGACTTCATTGTCCTTCTTCATTTCCTCCTACTCAGGTAACCTGTCCCTTTAAGTCCTAGTGCTAAGTGGCTGGTGGTTTTGTGTATGTGTGTTTTGTTTTGCTTTGTTTTGTTTCTCCAGAGCCTTCCCACTGAACTATATCCCCAGCTCTTTTTATTTTTTATTTTGAGACAGGGTCTTTCTAAGTTGCTTGGGTTAGACTCAAATTTGTGTTCCTCCTGCCTTAACCTCCCAGAGTGCCGAGATTTTAGAGTATTATCACTACACCAGGTTCCTAGCACTAAATGTTTAATAGAGTAGCTCAAGTAATTCCTACTTTTTGAAGAAAGTTCTGTTACATTTTACATTTTAAGAAACTGAAACTAAGATTATTACTAATTTGCCCCATGGGTTGAAATCAGGATTAAAACCTAAATTTGTCCACCCAGAGGCCATATTTTTTTCACATTATATCCTTATAAATGTAGGAAAACTTTAATGCTCAAAACCAAGACAGGCATTGTGTACTCTGCTGTTCAGGGCACAAAAGTGTGATCACTTCTAAAATGTTCTAGGAGAGTCCTAGATGGAAGGAGACAGGGTAGCAGGACACAGATGTGCACTGGTGCACAGTAAGTCATAACAGTCATTGTGTTTGGGTCGATTTCACAATCTATACCCCTCTACACACACACACACGCACACACACACACTGTGCCTACCCAAATTATAAAGTACTTGAGAAGTTTTGGCTACACTGCCATCATTAGTTAATAAGAAAAGCAAATCCCACCCCGAATCAAGTCTTTCCTAAAAGGAAAGGAAAGGGGTCTTGCCCTTCACTTCTGGGCTTTGGAGTCAGGTATGAGTCCTTTCCTTTTTCTGTCCTGTTTCCTGTTTGTGCTGCAGCACTTTTTCTTCAGTAGAAGGCAGAGCCTTATGAGAGCCCAACATGAGGAATTTTGCATTCCTGAATCCAGAGTCATACTTGTATAAATTCCATCTGGGGAAAGGGAATTTTCATCTCTTACACTGCTTAGTGTGTGCTTTAGTGGACTTTGCGAAGGTGGTGGTGGAGGTGGGAATAGAGTGGGTGAAGTTGATGAGGCCCCTGGAACTGCCAAGTCCTTTCATTGGCCTGTACAACTAAATTGAAGCATACCAAGCACCCAGGTGTGCCCATATAGTACCGAGGAGGCTTCTGAGAGCACTTCCCTGCACCTACACCCTTAACAACAAGTGGAAAGGTGAGTGGATATTAACTGGTTTTTGTTTTTAGGTTTATCATTGCCCCTTGGTTCTCCGTCACTGACTACAGAATAGAAGAAGGGAAAAGCCATGGTCAGATGGGGAAATAGTTATCCAGCTTTGGGGAGTTTTGATCCTGACTGCTGTCAGTAGTTTGGTGCATTAGGCAAGACTTGTATTTTATCATCTGTAAGAGTGGTAGAATCATAAGCAGTTGTGATGCAGTCTGAGTGCAGCGTGTTTTAGAAGATGTAAAGCAGACTGTTAATTCCCATTTATAAAAAATCTGCCAATGTGTTACTTTTCTGTTACTCTACAAACTCATGTCCAAGGCCCAGCTTCTTAGCTAGTGCCGGATTTTGCTGAGCCCTCACAAAGGCTCTTGTGCCTTTGCTTTTTTTGTTTGTTTTTTATGGAACCGGGGATTGAACTCAGGCCCTTGTGCTTGCTAGACAAGCACTTATTCTATTGAGCTATCTCCCCGGCCCCTGAAATTGCTTTTTACCTCAGAACCTCTGCTCCTGCTCTTACCTCTTCTTTCCACTTAATTTTTCCCCTTAGTGGCTCCTTCACACCACTGTGACTCAGCTGAAATGTCACTGGCACCTAAAATAAAGCAACTCTCATCTCTGCTCATTCGTAACATTTTTTTCATTTGTAGCACATATCACTACCTGAAATTGTTTTTCTTGTGTATCATGTGCTTCTTCCACTACAGCACAAGTTTTTAGGAGAACAGGGATCCATGGCTGCGTGTTTATCACTCTATCTCTGGATGTCCGTGTACCTGGTGCATGGTGGGCACTTAATGAATGCTAGCAGATGAATGAATAGGTCCTTGAAGAGAATGCTCAAGGCCTGTGGCAGTGTCTCTTCTGTAATGGCAGCTCCCCGTGCAGTCTGAGGGGACAGGATCGCCACAGGGAATGCAGGACAGAGCAGTTTGCCAAGGGCACAGCCTCTAGAAATGCTGGTGTGTACCGTAATTATTGAAGAAGGGGAGGGACAGATTGAATGCAAGAAATTTTATGAGAAATATTATAATGCATACTAATATGTAAAATATTTGCTTCCTTTGCCTTTTTGCAGGAAGGGACTAGACTTGTTTATTTCCCTTTGTTCCACAGTCTGGCTTTATATCTATCTATAGATAGATAGATAGATAGATAGATAGATAGATAGATATCTTTTTTTTCTTGTTTTTTTTTTTTCTTTTTTCTTTTTTCGTTTTTGGCTGAACTGGGGATTGAACTCAGGCCCTTGTGCTTGCCAGGCAAGTGCTTTTTCTACTGAGCCATCTCCTTGTCCCAGTCTGGGCTCTTGAGCAAACAGCAGGTATCTACAACATTTATTGAGATGGAACAGCCTATTTAGTGATTACAAGCATGGGATTTGACTCCAGACTGTCTGGTTTGAATCCTGGCACTGCCTGTTACTAGCTGTTTGACCTTGGATGGGTTAATGTCTCTTGACATTAGGTTTCTCCTTTGTAAATGAGAATAAGAGTAGCATCTGCCTTCTAGAATTCTTGTGATGATTATGGAGGCTAACAGGTAAAGCACCTTGTAAATTGTCTGGCACACTAAGTGCAAACCAAATGTAGCTATTACTATCATTATCATTAATGTCACTATAATGAACAAAACGTAGTTCCTGCCCTCCAGGAATAGAGACTCAAGGAAGGAAAACGTGTAATGAAGTAACTGTAAAAGAGTAACAGCTGGCTGTGATAAACATAGGGAAAAAGGGTGGTCTGAAAAACCTGGTAGTAAGTATCTACACAGTAAGGTGAGCACTAGCAGAAAAGAGGCTCTTAGGTAGAAGACCCCCAGGACAAGCATAGCATAGCAGGCAGGGTGCCTTATAGCAATAGCTCACGAACTGTTACTCAGAATTATTGTTCACAGTTTTTGCTCTTATTTACATTTTAACCCAGGTTAAATTTTTGGGAATACATTTATTTAGAGGAAGCCATACATCACATAAAATCCAAATCATGCGTTGAATAGGCTATGATAATAAACATTAAAATAATCATAATGAATAAATTGTATTGTTGTATTGTATTGTATTGTTGATCTAAAATCAGCACTCCAACCAAATTTTGGAGTACTTGCACTTAGGGAAACTTCTAACTAGGATCAGAAGCCAAACACACTATCAGTGACACTTGTCAGACTTTTCTATATAGTAGGCACTCAGTAGTGAATTTCATCTTAGCATTTTATAGATGAGGTGTGATTTTAAGAAAAAGAAACTAGCTTCCAGTCATTTGCCTCTAAACACACCTTATATTTATTTCCTCATTCTGGGATTGTAAGGGTTAAAGAGATAAAAAGGAACAAAGAATTTCAAGAGGTGTCAGTCTCAGTGGAAATGTTATAAAACCTTAATTGTGAAAGTTATATAGGAATAGACCGCATCGCAGTTACCACTGCAGCTCAGCTGTGATCCTCTAAGCAGCTGGAAATTCCTGCCAGATGTCCAAAGGAAACTCCCAGCAGACCCCATCATTTCAGGTCAATCCCTGACACTAGTGAAGGGATTGCCTACTCTTGCATTAAACTTGAGAGAAATAAATCTGGTTTCAAGCCATTAAATCCACAGGAAGGAAAATTCTTTGGGAGAAGGTAGTTTTTCTAAATATGTTACCTTCCAAGAACAAAGACAAAAATATAAACCAAAAGTAATAGAGGTTTAAGCTTTTTTATAGATGGTTGATTCTTTCTCTAGAATCAATCACAGGCTTTCTTTCTTTCTTTCTTTCTTTCTTTCTTTCTTTCTTTCTTTTTTTTTTTTTTCTAGAACTGGGGATTGAACTCAGGCCCTTGTGCTTGCCAGGGAAGCACTTATTCCACTGAGCCACCTCCCTGGCCCATCACAGGCTTTCTATAGTTTGAGATGTTTTCATTTATCCAGCAAACTGATTATGTACCAGAGAAGGTACTAAGAATACAGCAGTAAATGGGATGAATGTACTCACCATCCCCTTCAAGTTTAGCAAGCTACAAAAAAGAATCAAGAGCCGTAGGTAGGTATAACAGGAGACCAATCTCTGCATATGGGTGAGAAGCAATAGGAAAATGATTTCCTGAGCCATCTGTGTTGTCCCTGGGAACCAAAGTGTGAGTAAAGCTTGGTCAATATAAGGGAGAAAGTCCAGGGAGAGCTCTCAGGAAAGGGAACAAAAATGGGTGGTATGTGCCCCTAACAAAAATAAAGCAATCATGGCTCCCTCAAATAAGGGAGTGGGGGGTGGGGCTAAGAAAAGAACAAAAAGAAGCATTTGGATTCTGTTTTGTTTTTGTATTTCTTTCAGGGCTAGTTGGCTAGGCATGTTAATAGTTCTCAGTGGTGAATACAACTTTATGCCCCCTTTTCCCTAGAAATCTTTGGGACTTGGGATTTCTGGGTCACCTGATGTTGAAGAGAGAAACATCATCTATCACGATCAGTTTCCAAAGCACATGCTAATTAAAGTGCTTTGTAAATAGCCCTCTCCCCTGCCATGCCCCTTGGAGACAACCAGTGAGCTGAAACCTCCACAAACTATAAAGATGTTTGCAGTCTGCTTCATGGCAGTGGGAACATTGGGTGGATATTGTAATTCTGTGATGTAGATGCCACACCTAAACACTAAATAGGTTTGTAGTTGATGATTACAACTATTTAAACTTTAGAAAGTTTACAGGCTTTAGCTGACAACTTTTCAGCATAATAAGCAGTGTCCACTGTGTTCCATAGTTGAACAACACATTGGTTGCACAAATTGCAAATCCTGCAGTCCACTTTATAGATGTCTTTATTCTGCATGTAAAAGAAGTGGCAAGAGATACTGGAGTAAGAGACCAATTTCTGTACTTAAACATTTTTACTTTTTCTACAGATATTCCTTCATTATTTCACTGTAGTGCTCTGTGAGCTCTTCTATGAATTTCCAGGTCTCAAAATAAAAGAACCTAAATTATTTATTCCTTTCCATAACTGCAAATGATATGAGAATTTTGAGATAGCTCAAGAAAATTCTACTTAGCAATGAATAAGAGTAAGCAATTGCTACATGCTATAGCTAGATAGCCTTGAAGCTCAAGGATCACTTACTTGTATGACCTGTTTTCAAGATACTAGCAGTTAGCCTTGGCTTTGGAACATGCTTTGTGAAGAACATTTAAAGATTTCAATAGACGGCATTTCAATAAATCATTAGTAAATCAATAGGCTTAATACTAGAATATATACATAGACCATTTTACTAATTTGTTATACATAGTCACATGCACTCAAAATAATTTAAGAATCAATGAAATTTTCTGATGGTCTTTCTTACCTCAGATACGACGAACAAGCTGAAATTGTTTCCCCAGACTACCTCTCATTGATTTTGGAAATGGAGTGGGGAAGATTGACTAAGCATCTGTAATACTGCGTTGTTGATGGAATTGATTTTTAAACTTAATTGGAGTAAAACCATAGGAAATCAGGAGAGAAAAATAGTATTTGTATTTATACACAATATTTATTCTAAGGAATATTTAATGAAGGATCATTATTAGTTAAACAAATAACCTACTAACCTATGGCATACTTACAAGACTAATCTTTCTCCCTAGTACATGATAAATAGTCTAGAAAGGTTTGGGGGTTGTTTGTAAATAAAAAGTGTAACAGTTGCTGATGAAAAAAGAGAAAGCATTCTACTTGTTTTTAAAATTTAGAATGAGTAATGCAAGTCTGTGAAAATTGAAAATGTTGGTTTAAAAAATGTTGGTTTCCCATTTGTATGAGTTGGAGGTAGAATAGGAAAACTTAGAGAGAGAGAGAGAGAGAGAGAGAGAGAGAGAGCGCATCCGACTGATAAAAGGAAGGAATCAAAGGAAACAAAAAATGAGAAAACTACTAGAATTCAGATACACGCAGAGAAACAAAGCAAGAAGACAACCCAAAGCAAACTACACCCTTAAGGCGGGGGAGAGCTGCTCCCGCCTAGGATGGAGGAGGAGCCTGTACCCTGGGGCTGTGTGCCTTCCAAGGAGCGGTGTCTTCCAACAAAATGTTAAACAGTGCTTGAAAGCATTCCTGCTTTGTTTTCAACCTTCAAAATTTATTTCTTAAATAAACTGGGGTTTTTTTGTTTTGTTTTTTGTTTTGGTATTGGGGATTAAGTTCAGAATTTCAGTTTGTCAGGCAGGTACTTTTATATTTTCAAGAAATTGTAAAGGTTTTGTTCATATCTGAAAAACATCAAGTTTCAACAGGTGATTTTTTTTTTTTTTTTAGAAAATTAGTTGTTCACATGCAAAACCAATCACTTTAATTTGTGCTCTGAAATTATAGCTGCCATATCCACAATTTTTATTTGTATTTATTTTTATTTATTTATTTTTGTGGAACCAGAGATTGAACTCAGGCCCTTGCACTTGCCAAGGAAGCGTTTATTCCACAGCCATCTCCCCGGCCCCAATATCTATAATTTTAACTTTATTTTATTATTAGGAAACTTAAGACAAACCACAAGTTTTCACTTGGTTTGTTTACATTCCAGTGAAAAATGGTAAATACAGTATTTTTTATATAAAGGATATATAGCAAATGAATTTAGGTAGGATATCTTTACTGGATATATAGAAATAAATGATTTTTTAAAAATTTATTTATTTTTGGCCCTTTTGAGGTAGTCTCGCTATGCACTTCAGGCTGGCCCTGAGCTCACTTTGTAACCCAGGCTGGTCTCAAACTTGCAACCATCCTTCTGCCTCAGCCTCCTAAGTGCTGGGATTACAAGTGTATGCTACCACACCCAGCTCTAAATAAATTTAAATAGTCTAATTTCTTCTTTTTTTTTTTTTTAATTTTTCTTTACTGGATTCAATCTTACAAAGCCAGTATACTTTCAAAATTTGGGTGTTAGATAGGTTAATTAACCATATTTGATTAGTACAAATTGTAACATAGATCAAAACATTGTACTTTGTAAATATGTGTAATTACTATGCATCAACTTAAAAAAAGAAATGATGATCCCATAACTTTCTCTTCCAGAAAGTATAGAGGATTAGGTATCTTTTTTTTTTTCCAGTACTGGGGATCAAACTCAGGCTCTTGTGCTTGCCAGGCAGGGTCTTATATACCTCTGAGCTATATCCTTGGCCTAGGTGTCATTTTAGATGCATTTTTATTGTTAACTATTATGGAATAATCTCCCATTCTTGTATTCTACTGGACTAAAAAAGTTATAAAATAAGATTTCTGTAATCTTTTCTGTTAAAAAATGCCATTAAGCATCAATTGTTATTGCTGCTTATCACCTTTGGTAGCCTAATTGCAGGGCTGATATATCAGATTGTGTTATGTGCTTCAATCAGACTTTGAAGCCATAGTTGTAGATTAGTAAAGGAAATCCAATAAAAGTTAGGCTTTGGAAAAGTTTACTATGGTTTTATTTTTATTTTTTTATTTTTTATTTATGTGTGTGTGTGCTTAAAACCAGCCCCTTACTATGGTTTTAATATGCTTGACTTTCTTCACTTTCCTCCACAAGTATATCAAAGTCAAGGAAGTGGGGCTGGTGAGATGGCTCAGTGGTCTAAAGCACCTACTTAGAACAAGCTTAGCAAAGCACAGGGCCGCGGTTCGATCCCCCAGCTCCACATGCCAGCCAGCTCCGCCCCCTGGTGGGCTGAGCTGGCCCCACACACACACACACACACACAAATAAAATTAAAAAAAAAAAAAAAGTCAAGGAAGTTTCATCTGTTAAAGACTGGGAAGTGAAGCAGTCATTAACCAGTGTCACTGCCCCTCACAGGAACTGATTCACTTATCTTCAGATGAAACCATGGAGTTTTAGGGAGAGCTAGAAACTTAGCAGCCTGTTTCTATACCAGGAAAAATGTGATCATCTCATCTGGGTTTTTATTACACATGACGTTCTGTCTTGCTTTTTATGAATTCTTTTTAAGTGTTTTCTGTGAAGCATCATGGACTTCAGGACTGGTGTTGTATATGACTTTGACCTATTTAACCTTTGAAATAGGTAAAGTGTGCTTTCAGACTTCGTCACGTCGTTAAACCTGGTTCATTCCTCATTGCTCAAGAGAAGTCACCAGGGTAAAGTAGGTAGGAGGGACAGTCATCTTCAAAAGAGAACTTTTACATAAGGTGATTCTTTGGGGATACCTAGCATGCCTACATCACCATAACCCCTTGCAGCTTCTATCATTCTTTGACTCCCAGATTCTAGTAAGTACAAGACTCTGAAGCACCTCAACTTCAGAAACCATGTTGCCTCTTGGGGCTGGAGATGGATCATGGCCCAGATGGCATGAGCAGCCTCCTTCTCAACCATGATGAGCCTGTTTGAGGAAAGTTCAGGACTCACAGTGACATGTGCAGGTGTCTGTCTTGCTACCTGGGTGCTCACTATATCTGTCGTCTTCCCTGTCCATCTGCTTGTCAGGGAAAGGACTATTTATTAGGTCTACTAAGCAGAACCCTCCAGTGATAGGATTTTTTTTTTTTTCCTAAAGTTTTAGGTATAGAAATAGAATGAGATTTTGGGATAACTTGTTTTTTGTTTTTGTTTTTTCCATTTTTTGTATTTGGTACAGGGCCTCACTACACAATTTTTTTCCTGAAATATCAGCTATCATTTTATGTGTTTGGTACAGGACTCATAATGATCCTCCTGTTTTCACCCTCCCCAGTGCTGGGATTACAGGTGTGCACCACCACATGGCATAAGTTTTTTTTTTTTTTTTTTAAGAACCAACTACACATCAAGAGAACAGACCAATATAGTAAGATATCGTCATATAGTATACTGAACTGAGCAGTGAAAATGTCTGAACTAAAACTACATGGAGCAGCATGGATGATCTTACCATTATGGGCAAAAACACAAGTTGCGTACATTTTCTGTATAAATATATATCATCTACGCATGACAGTAATATTCAGGATGGTAGAAAGGAATAGGGTAGAAGGAAAGGATGGAAGAAAGGAATTGGAATGCGATTTTGGAATTTGGAACATGATTTTGGAAGGGATCCAGTGGAAGTTTCAACTATATAATTCTCTAAGGTTTGTTGATGGAATATACTTAGATTAAGTCTCATTTAGCTAAGTCTTCTGGAATCATAGCTGATATTTCAGAAAAAAAATTGTAAGTTCTTCAGTCATTAGAACAGATTTTTTCTTTTTAAAATTTTTATTAGTACATGTTTGCAGTGTATAATACAGTAATTACATGCATTGTGAAGAATTGGTATGTTTATAACACATCTCCATTACACGTATTATACAGTTCTTATTGGATAATAAATTTTTTTTAATGTATTTAGTACAGGGTCTCACCACACAGATTGGACTCATAGTGATCTTCCTGTTTGCAGCCTCCCAAGTGCTGGGATTACAAGCACGTCACTACACCCAGTCTCAATCACCATCTCTGCGTGCCTCAGTGGTGGGGCTGGCACAGCACACTGGGAATCGAACCTTGGCTCTGTGCTCTGCCTAATCTGCTGAGCTATCTGCCTAGCCCTTTTAAATACTTTTGAGAAATATTTTTTTAAAGTTATGATGCACTAAAAGAGAAATTGCAGCCTATGAGCCCCTAGGTGGAACTGAGCCCTACCTACTCATTTTTTTTTACCACAGGGTGTTGACATTTTTACAAAATGTTTTTTGGGTTGTTTTTTTTTGTTTGTTTGTTTTGTTTTGTTTTTCAGATTTCTGCTATCAGAAAACATGGCATCATTAGGCCCTGGTTTTTAGCTGGCAGGAGCTGGCCAGAGCTGAGCAACTCTTCCCTTTCAGGGGAGCATGTCCTGTCCATTTGGCCACTGTCTCCATCCAGCCAAGCTTCTTCATTTATGTAGTTTGCCACACTGTGGAGATCTTTGCAACCTGTACACTAAATTCCAGTTCTCACTTCACTAGAAAATGAAGCTCAAAATGTGCCTTCTCCTGTGAACCCAGTTTTAGCAAATACCACTAAAAAACAGCATTTCTAAAATGTTCTGGTAAGGCTGGTTTTAAAGAATAGTAATTGCAATTTGTGATTTTGCAGTGTTTGTAGAAAAATACTTCCTAACAAATAACGTGGTGAAACAGCTCAGCTGTGGGACTATGTGTGACGCCACTTACAAGATCACTGGAGTTTATACTGTGCCATTCTGGCCGTGCTGTCCAACAGATCTGTTTACAAAGAGCACTTCTAAACCAATTTAAAGATCTTGATTTTTTAAAAATACATCTGCCTAGCTGCCTACCGTCAAATCACATTCTTACACAGATATTCTTTCTATTTTGGTGGGTCTGAAGATGACAGCAGCAACACGACAAGAAGTTCTTAACCTCTACCGTAGCATTTTCAGGCTTGCAAGGAAGTGGCATGCGGCATCAGAGCAGATGGAAGACACCATTAAAGAGAAACAGTATATACTAAACGAAGCCAGAACACTGTTTCGGAAAAACAAAAATGTAAGTAGGCTTCTACTGGAGATTATGGAGTAGTTTCTTAAGGTGTAGATTCATTTCCTTTCTGTCCCAGAGAGTGGAGTGGAGTGAGCAGAAGTCATAATGGCCCAGGCTGGGACAGAAAGCATCCCATGCACAGCTAAATCAGGCCCTGGAAAGTTAAGCCCAGCCTCTTTCTCCATTTGTTCCAGATGCCTAATTATTTTAATTTCATTGCTGAGACAAAATATCTGGCATCCAAAGTTAAAGGGGGAGAAGGTTTATTTAGCCCACAGTTTATAGAGGTTTCATTCCATAATTGGCTGGCTCCAAGGCAGAGTGGCTTGGCAGAGAACAGTTCATGGTGGGCCGAAGATAGCAAAGCAAACAAAAGGGCAAGACAGCCTCTGTTTATCCTTTATGTTGTGTCCAGATTACTGGGATTATCAGTGGACTGATTCAGTCATCATCCACCCTTAATCCTAGCATTGCACCATGAATCACCCATACACTCAAGATTCAGTCACATCTGAAGAAGCCCCACTTAGGCCTCCATGAGGCCTTAGGGTGACATCTGGACACAAGCCATAACACTGGGTCTCAGTCTAGCCAGTAAGTAGCTCAACATCTTCTGCATGGGAATTTGCAGAGGAGTCCCTCCTCACACAGTGTTCACTACAGGCCACTCCCACAGGAGATGTGTAGCACAATGTTTGTAATCAATTCATAAACTCTCAAAGCCTCCAAATATAAACCCATTCTGAGGGGAAAGAATAGGATTAAGACACAAGGTTCCCATTATAACTTAGCTTTGAACTCAATCCTCTGGCTAACTGTCAAGTTACCCTTTGGGACTACAGAAACTAGTGCCTCCATTAGGAAGATTAATGGAACTACATACAGAGACACCAGGGAGCTGGTCTGACCCATCCCAACAAACTATAAAGCATTAGCTATTAGGTCGTCTGAAAGACAGCCAGGAAAGAAGCCTAGAAGGAGGCTTTCTCTCCTGACTTCTCCTTGGCCTCCTCATTGATCTCATGGACTCAGTGCTTCCAAACAGGATTCTGTCACTCATTTTCCCTCCCTGACCTCTGCCTTCGTCTCTTTTCATCCTGTCTTCTACATATTCCCTCCCATCAGCTTATGGGATCCTCTAAAGATCAGCTTTCTCCCCTGAGGTCTGTGCCACATACAGCCACTTTATGGTTTACCTCTTACATCTAACACAATCGCCACCCCCACCTCACTGCACCGCCACAGTGACCTCTAACCAGCCATCCACAGGACCCAACACAGCTTAACAGTCCAAACCTGAGCTTGTCTGGCAGGGTGCCTGCCCTTCCAACCTGTTGATACCTGTCACAGTGCCTGTCACCACTCAGCAGTTCTTTTTTCTCACTGAACAGATACTCAAGTGCTTACCATGTGGCAAACACTACACTAGACATCAGGAATATACAGTCCATAAGCAGAATCAAGTTAGGATCCCTCACAGATGTTTGATAATTAGAAATATAAAATATAAAATTACAATTGAGACAAGTACTACCAAAGAAATCTTCCTAAAGTGCCTTTCCCTCCTTGGAATCTATGAAGCCTGGTGCTGTACTCATTGAGCCTTTCCCCAACCTCTCCAAATTTTTTCTCTTTGTACTCTGATGCTTGTCAACTCAAGGTTGACATGTTCTAGGAGGTCCTTCTGCACATAATCCTCTAAATCATAGAAATAAGATATGATAGCTATTTCTAATTCTTTAAAATACCTATTTTGTATATATACTTACAATGAATTTATCAGTACATGTATAGAGATGGTCCTTATGATGGTTGGAATTCTTATTTCTTGGCTTTTCAGTGAAAGCAGTAGAAACTATACTTTGAATGTTGAGTTATTGAGAACTTTATTAAAAAGTGGATTTCATGTTAGATGATTTTTGTCCAAGTGTAGACTACTAAGTAGACTAAGCAAAGGTTAGGAGTATAGTATTAAATGTGTTTTGAAGCAGATTTGTCAGGCTATAAACCCATCCCAAACATCCATAATTTATAAATTAATACATTGATATATCAGTACAAGTGCACATGTTGAAGCTGTGGGCTCAGAATTTTTTTTTTCTTTTTTGTTTTTTGCAGAACCAGGGATTGAAATCAGGCCCTTGTGCTTGCCAGGGAAGCGCTTATTCCATGGAGCCATCTCCCCAGCCCCTTCAGAATTCTTTTATATATTTATTTTTATGTATTTAGTACAAGGTCTACAGGGTCTCACTACATAGATCGGGCTTGTAATGATTCTCCTATTTTAAGCCTCCCAAGTGCTGGGATTACAGACAGATGCCACCATGCCCAGTCTCAATTCACATCTCAGCTCACCCCAGGGATGGAGCTGGCAGTTTGTGGTGTGGGGGATTGAACCTCGGCCCCTGAGCTCTGCCCAAGCAGGCACTTTAGAATTCTTTTTTTGAAAGACAGGTCATAAAGGTATTTGGAGACCACTAAGTAGTTGGCTGTATCTTTTTTTATTTGTTTTCATTTATGTTGCAATAACTTTTTAATTATTGCTTCTGGAGCACACAGACTATGTCTTACACTTTTCTAGTGTATCCTATGAGACTTGCCTTATTTCACTGAATTAACATTTACAAATACTTTTCATTTAAATGATTTGCTGTAGGAAGTCTTTCTTAATTCCTCTGCTTCTTCCTAGCCCATGGTGGCCACTTACTCTGTATGATATAGCAGTCATTGCTCTTGTTAATTGTGCAACTATAGTTCCTTTTCTGCAGCTTTATCCATCAGAATTGTTTTGCACAAGTAGTAGCTTTGATGGTTGGAAGCAGAGACCATAGTCCTCTGATATCCAGCTTGGTGCTTGGAATATCATAGTATGTGCCCATTAAACCTTAGGAGACCCGTTCGCCTTAGGGCTATGCAAGACCTAAAATTTTCAGTTCCTGCAGCTCTCCTTCCTTTTCCTCTGTTTGGATGGGCAAATGGGTGAGTCAGAGGATGGTGTGCAAGCTACTGACGGTACACGAAATTAATGGGGGGCAAGCAGAGATTGTGCACTGGTTTCTAATTTTAAGGTGTGTATTTGTGTTAGCAGGTATTTGAAGGCAAAGAGATTATCAAACCAAAATTTTACAGATAGCATTGCTTAGGAGAGTTCATTTAGAGAAAAAATTTAATGTTAGTATATGTGGTAAATGGTTATGGCAAAATTATTTGGGAAGCCTGTGAAGGCCTGAATTTGGAGCATTCTAAGCTTAATAATAAGCTTATTCATACAGACAGTTGTAGTCCCCCAAATCCCAGCCACTTTAACCATATCTCTGTCAGGAGCTTTTCATTTCTCCCTTACCCCTTACACTTGCCACTTTCTAAAGCAATTCTGAAAGTCTTTCATGAGTGTCTTTAGTTGCACTGTTGTGGCTGCCTTTATGTTCTGAATTAATTCAAAATGTTTACCATTTGTGGCCCCAGGATATAGCTCAGCAGCATAAGCCCCCACCTACCAAAATGTTTACCATTTATGGTCATTTTGACTTTGGGAAAGAACTAGAAGTTACATTGGTGCCAGATCTGGTGAATAAGGTGAATGAAGACACATTGTAATGTTTATGAGCTTGACTCTCTGTTGGATGGCACTCAACAGCATTCACTGTATTTTTGATCTATGTAAAGACATTCAGGAAAGAGAACATCTAGAACTGCTTCAGAAAGTGATAAGAATTATGAGATATACATGTTCAAAGGGAAATGATAGTGTGTCTTTTCCTGTAACAAATTTTTTAAAAATTTATTTACTGTATATTTTGATTACATCTTGTAAACTTTGTAAGTTGTTCCACTAAGAGTTTAATAATAAAGGTATCTCCTTAATTGCTCTGAATTCCACTAGGCAGATGGGAACATGGAAATCTATTCTCAGTGTGGTTAACAGAATTGTAGCTTCTGAGAAACAAAGAAATCAGAAAGTTGAGCCTCTGCCCCAGGGACCTTAGCTCTGATTCTCTTTATTGCTGTTCCTGGAACTCTTCCTCTCTATGCCAGAGGCCCGCACAACAGGAACTCCCTTGGAATTTCCAAGACACACAGGCCCAGACTTAACCGTGTGTCATTATCTGGAGCTGATGCAATCCTAGTATAACCGCCCCCCCCCCTTTTCTTTCCAGTCCTGGAGTTGAACCCATGGCCACATGCATCCTACGCAAGCACTACCGCTGAGTCACCTGCTCCGGCCACCCCCACCCAGCCTCTACTTTGAGGCCCGCTTGCAAATAGCAGTCCACATGTGGATTCGTTGCTTCCTCAGAATGAAACAGCTTCTCCCCTTCTCCTATTTGGCTGTTTTTTTTTTTTTTTTAACTTTATTAAAATACTGAGTTTATTTCACATGTATATTTGTCTCCCTACCATCTCCATGTCTGACCACCACCACTACTACTATGTCTTATCATAACATTCCATACATACTTAAAACCAAGTAAAGGGTGGAGTTCCATCTTTAAAAACTAAACAGGCATTTCAGACAACACATTCTTGGCAATGGGACCTGGACAACATTTATCAAACACAGTAGGGAAAGTTCTCACTTTGCATTATAAAAAGGATAGCCAGATAGCAACTATTACAGAAATGAAAGACGACGGAAAACTTTAACAAACTGTTTAAAATGTTTTCTTAAAGAGACTTCCTCCACTGCCAGAGATCTTGAATAGCCTCCTGGTCAGTCATCCGGAAACAATTCTTCACATAATTGATGAATTTGGTTTCCACTTTGGGAAGAGAACCACCTTTTTCTATACTTGCTTGCATTTTTGCTTTAATGTCTTCTACAGAACTAGATCCTTTCGGTGTTTTAGGACTCTTTTCCTGTTTCTTAAAGGATTCCTGCCCTTTTGATCTTGGCGTTGATGGTTTTGAGTCTTTTCCATTCTGGTTTGATTTTTGTGCATTTTTGGCTGGAGTATCTCGTATTGATTTCTTCACTGGAGCTTTCTCCTCAGTTTCTTCATCATCAAAATCATCATCATCATCATCCTCATCATCATCATCCTCATCCTCGTCCTCATCATCCTCGTCGTCTTCATCAGCAGTGAGTTTTACTTTTTTCTGTGGAACCTTGCTGCCACCTCCAGGGGCAGATCGCTTTCCAGATATACTTAGGAGTTTTACATCTTCTTCCTCTTCCTCTTCCGACTCTGCATCTTCTTCCACAGCTACTAAATGCTGTCCACTAATATGCACAGGCCCTGAACCACACTTCAACCTTAAGACAACAGGTGATGTAATTTCAAAGCCCCCAAGGGAAACCGTCGGCTGTACAGACATTTTCAAAGTTGCCAGTGTTACTTTAATTGGACTGCCTTCATAATTCATAGCCTCTGCCTCAACAATGTGCAATTCATCCTTTGCACCAGCCCCTAAACTGACCGTTCTTAATGACAACTGGTGCTCATTTTCATCGTTATCCACCTTAAAGTGGTAATCTTTGTCGGCCTTTAGTTCACAACCGAAGAGATAATTCTGGGGCCTCAGGGGGCTCATGTCCATATCCATCGAATCTTCCATGGAGTGGTGGCGTGCACTTAGGTGGGAGAGAACGTGGACGGAAGTGAATGACTACTGCTCCACAGAACAGACACGCAGGACGGAATCATGCCAGGGTTGGCTGTGTTTAAGATGAATTTTTTATTCTTTTACATGAAAGTAGACTATCATAATTTCACTATTTTGAGATTTTAAGAGCTCTTTTGTTTCCTTTACCATTTAAAATAACTTACCATTTAGAATAACAAGTAGTTTACTCTATTATCTTACTCAGAGATTTTCTGAGTAACACTTGCTGAAAATGAAGAAGGTAAAAGTCAGTACTGTCATTCAGTGTTGGTGGGAATATAACTATGTAGATTGTTGGTAAAAACGTAAGTTGTACAAACGTGGTGAACCTGTGGCACACGTGTTACTTGTTCTTTTAAGATAAAAGATGTTAATATGTGAGTTGTTCTTTCTAAACCCAAACCTCAGTATTCAGGTTTAATTGCAGGTGTTGCCACTTTGCAGTCAATAAGTGGGTTTTGGGTTGTGATTTGGGCTCTGTCTACAAGGTGTGGCATCACTGTTCTAGAAGGTACTTGGGAATGCTGTGAGAGTCAAAAACTGTGCAGCAAAACCACTTTGCCCTAGCAGTTCTCTAGGAGTTCATCTTTTAGATGTATTTGCACGTGAGCCAAAAACACCCGAGACATTTTTAACAGAATTGTTTATAAAATAATGACAAAATATTGGAAATAACCTAAAAGTCTATCAGTAGAAGATTGGTTAAATTGTAATAAAGCCTTATGTTGGAATTTTATATAGCTTTTAAAAAGAATGGGATGGTTCTGCATATGTGAATATACAAAGATGTTCAAGTTATAGTGAAAAGGACTCAACTGAAGTGAGCTATCATTTATGCAAGAAAAAAATCTTAAGTCTGTATACAGGTTTATATATGGATAGAGAATCCTTGGAAGGAAGGATACATAAGAAATTGATGATAAACTGTCTCTGAGAAAAGACACTGAGGGCCAGCCAAAGAGCTCAGCAAATTAAAGCACCTACAAGCAGGTGCAGGGGTCAGGGGTTTGATCCCCAGGCCTGCTGTGCCAGCCCTGCCCCCAACACGTGCTGAGACTGCAATTGAGACTGGGTGTGGTGGCGCGAATCTGTAATCCCAGCTGTTGGGAGGCTATAAACAGGCAGATCACTACGAGTTCAATCTAGTAGCAAGACCCTGAACACTCTGTAGACCCTTCCCTAAAATACAAAATAGATAGATAGATGGTTAGATAGATAGATAGATAGATAGATAGGAAACTGGGGGATCAGGGTAAGAGGGAAACAGTTCTTAGCATTATATGCTTGTAGATTATTTTTACCATGTACATGTATCACCTATTTTATTTTTTTTTTAAATTTTATTTATTTATTTATGTGTGTGTGTGTGTGTGTGTGTGTGTGTGTGTGTGGCCAGCTCAGCCCACCAGGGGGCGGGGGCTGGCTGGCATGTGGTGCTGGGGGATTGAACCGCGGTCCCTGTGCTTTGCTAAGCTTGTTCTAAGTAGGTGCTTTAGACCACTGAGCCATCTCACCAGCCCCTGTATCACCTATTTTAACTATTTTAAAAGTTTAATCCACAGTAAATTTTAATTTTAAATGTAGATTTTTTTCAAACTGTATTACCTAGTGAAGAGAAAAAGTTTAAGAAAATATATACCAATATTTTATCATTAGAAACATGAAAACCTCACTCATTTTCCCCTTTTAATAGCTCACAGACACAGACCTGATTAAACAATGTATAGAAGAATGCACAGCCAGGATTGAAATTGGACTGCATTACAAGATCCCTTACCCAAGGCCGGTAAGTGTGATTCTGCTAAGAGGTGGCAGGTACTTAATGCTTGCCAGCCCAGTTAGCTCAGAGAATGTATACCAAGTGCCAGTGCTTGCCAACAAGCAGAGAGCTGCTGTGGAAGGCGTGTCAGAAATGCTACTGTTACTTGCCACCAAATCCTTATGATGAACTGAGATATCAGTGAGTGCCTCATTTCTCTTCTTTGTACAGCTTTCTCACACATCAAAGGAAAACAAGCTCCTGTATATGTAGTTTTCTCTTTTGACCTTTACCTTTTTATAGAAATGCTTTTCCCCTTTATTATAAAAGGAAGGTATGTTGTTACTAAAAGAATGAAGCTCAAACATTAAAGGAATGAAATTAGGCATGATGGTGCATGCCTGTAATCCCAGCACTTGGGGGCTTGAGACAGTGGGATTGCCTGGAGTTTGAGGCCAGCCAGAGCCACATAGTAAGGTCAAGATAAGCCTGAGATCCTATTTCAATAACAACAAAAAACAAAACATTAAAGGAATGCATAAAATAGAAAGCAAAACTTGTCAAAAATTTTCACCCCATGGAAGTGACCACTGTTTGTGGTATATTAAAACAGATGTAATTGTGAATATTCAACTTTTTTTTTTTTTTTTGTATTTAGTACAGGGTCTACAGGGTCTCACGACGTAGATTGTACTCCTAGTGATTCTCCTGTTTTCAGCCTCCCAAGACCTGGGATTATAGGTGTGCGCCACCACGCCCAGTCTCAATTGCCATCTCAGTGCACCTGGGGGGCGGAGCCGGCACGGCACACTGGGGATTGAACCCTGGCCACTGCACTCTGCCTAAGCAGGCTCTTTAGTCTGCTAAGCTATCTGGCCAGCCCAGCATTCAACTTTTTGACCTAGAAAAGCAGCAGTTTGACACTGTATTGGCTCAACTTAATTGTTTGGTGTTATATATTATACATTGATATATATGTTACACTTTACATAAGTGGGATTCTAGGCATACACTTTTACTGTCTATGTGTCTTACTATATCCTTCGAAACAACTTTGCATACAGTTCTACCTCAGTCTCTAAATGTGTGTATTATATGCTGGTGTAATAATTATTAGGGTGTTTTAGAAAAACAGAATCAGTGGTGTGGAAATCTATATATGATTTACTTATTACAAGGAATTGGTCCGTGCAGCTATAGAGGCTGAGAAGTCCCATGACCGGTCATCTGCAACTTGGCGGCCCAGGAGAAAATCAGTGGTATAGTTTAGTCTGAGCCCAAGAGCCTGAATACCAAGGGGGCTGAAATCCCAGTCCAAGGACAGGAGAAAGTAAGACACAGGCAGTCAGTAAAAGACATTCTCCCCTTTAGCGTACTGGAGGACACCCACCCACTGGGTATCCTTCCTTGTGGGAGGTCAATCTGAGTCTGCTGACTGAATCTCTAGACTGATCTCTAGAAATGCCATTGTACCCAGAAATAGTGTTTAATGTGAGCCCATCTGACCTAGACATGAAATCGACCATCACAGCCATAATTGTATCAGCTCTCTATTTGGAGGCATTGCAGTTACTCTTAGTTTTCTACTATGCACTGAGTATCTTTGTGAACACTTTTTTTCCCTCTCTCATGTTTGGATTACTGTCTTGCTGTGTGATCTGTAATCATTAGTTTCTTGCATTCAGATAATACACAAAGAAGAGCACAAGTTTTGGACTCAGGCAGACCTGGGTTCAGGTCCTGGTTCCACCCAGCATATATAATGCAGAGCAAGCTAACATCTCTTGATTCAGTAGTAGATTTAGCACTTAGCAGCAGCATAGTATTTAATCCTTAAGGAATACAAGAGAAAGCAATGAGTATAAATTCTTAATACCGTCATCCTTGTGATTCAGATTCATCTGCCTCCAATGGGCCTCACCCCACTACAAGGCCGGGGATTTCGAACTCAGGAGAAACTGAGGAAACTTTCCAAACCAGTATATCTCAAGTCTCACGATGAAGTTTCCTAACCCAGAAGAAAGTTTATGAAAATGATGAACCAACTAGATCTTGGATGTAAACCAGATAACAAGACCCTTCTCCTTGATTAAGGGCAGAAATTCAAATTTCTTCAGACCTCTGGAATTGTTCTTCACTGTGATGCTGCATGCCTGAACATTCCTGAGGTTTGTCAGGTTGTCTTGCTTGATCAGATGACATTAACCCTACAGCTCTTAGAGCTTACGTGTTCACTGACGTTACTTTTGGAAATAGACACGCTCCTGTGGGAGGAAGTTGATGATGATGAAAGTGTTTGGAGCATCTCATTCGCTGCTGCCAACATACACAAGGAAACCAGTCAGCTTCTGGAAGGGTTTATGGCTACTCTGCAGCATACACTGTTCCCAGAGTAGTTTTGAGGGTTTTTTCCCCCTCCAAGTTACATATTTTTTTATCACTGGGGGTTGTATGTGCTTTGTATTTTGGGGGGCATGGTCTTTTATTCTTTCAATTTCCAGATAAACATCTTAAAAATGCCATCTTTGAAAGAAAAAAGGAACCTTTTGGTTTGATCATGGTTTTTCATGCACATTTTGTAAGACATCCATTTCCCCTCCCTGCACACAAAAGTGTGTGCTTGTCTGACCTTAAAGCCTGTGATTATCAGAAGGATTTTTTTTTTTTTTTTTTTTTTTTTTTATGGCTCAAGATGCCTTCAGGGCAGGACTGGTAAGGAATGAGGATCTAGGGATCGAACCTCAGCATCCTGACTGCTTTGTTTAAGCAGGCCCTTAAACGACTGAGCTAATGGGCAGGTCCCCAAAGCCTGTGATTATCAAAGATGACTTGGGATCTGAGAAAACTTCCTTGAAACTCATACTGCATTCATTGTATTTTACTTTAACATAATTGAAACATACAAGGTCTCAGGTGGTTTTCTAATTATGTCTAAACAGAAGTGGGTCAAATAGAGGTGAGAACCCTTGGCAAGTTACTTGTACATCAGTGCTATTACTTCTTAATTTCAGAGAGAGTGGGCATTGCCAGTAAAGGCAAATCTCTACCAGTTTTGGTCTCTGTGTTCTTTTTCAAGTGGGCTTTTGACCCACAGAAGTGGCAGAGGAAAGCTGCCTCTGTGAGCAGGAGCATACTTTATTATGCTCAAGGTAAGTATGAGAGTTTGGGGATGACTTGGAGAATAAAATGGTATTGTATCAGTGGGTAAAAGCATATACATATTTAATACAAATGCAGCTGTAGGTCTTCGGTGAAGACAGAAAATGTAAATGTGCTGGCAGATGGGTTGGCCTCTCTGTTCCAGCTTAGCTTGACTAGGGAGATACGAATCTGCCATTCCTTTTGCTCATTCTCTTTCCAGCATCTCACTGCAGAAGCATCTCCATGTCTAGAGGGGATTCTGCTATTTAAAGTACTGTCCATACAGTGTAGGTTTGTGAACTCAAGCCAACTCCTTCATCTGTTGGTCAGCCAGCATGGTATTCTGCAGTAGAAGAAAACCTGGTGGGGCTGAACCAAGTGAGACGTAGCTTGCCCATCTCCATGACAGTCTCTTCCTATGAGACTCAAGACGATGTGATGTGCAATAAATGCCTTGCTCTACTGAATGTAGAAAGCACCCTTCTCACACAGCCTCCTCCGAGACTGAAGACCATTTAATTGCCAAGCAACTTTTGACTATCTTCTGTGTACCTGGAATCTTACCTAGATGTGAATTTTATGTGTCTAGTCTTCTTTGCAAAGGTGCATAAACCGTTACATAGTAACAAGATTGTCAATTTACTGTGAGACCTTCTTTGTAACCTGTCTACCCTCTATTTTCTCTCATGGACAATAAGATCCGATACATTGTGTCAACTTGAGTGTAGAAGTTTAAGTAAGTAACCACAGTTCTACATCCTGGGAAGGAAAGCAGGCTCATTCTGCCCCCTTGTGCTCTTGCTGCTTTTGCTGTCTTCTTTGGCCTTGAAGTGTTGTCCCCGAGCCATGCCACCCTGCCTTGGAGCCAGCTGATTACGGACTGAAACTTCCACGAACTGTGAACTAATTAAACCTTTCCTTCCTTAATTTGGAGTATCGGGTCTGTCTTGCAAGAAAACTAAGACAACCGGCAAGTTCAGTCATTTAGGGTAGAACCTATGTTCTCTTTAGAGACTTTAATGCAGTTGAAGTCTTCCGTCACTGAGAAGGACTGGACAGTAATTCTTTATGCAGCAGCTATATTTATGCAGCAAGGACTGGCTCAGCGACCAGCTTTGCTTGATGTCTGCCAAGCTATTTTCTAGGTAGAGCCTGCAGCTTCTCTCAGAGCTAATCTCTGGCCATTTCTGCCCCAGGACTCCAGCCTCTAACTCATCACAGTCTCTGAAGAGCATATTGCTTTTTCCCAATGGGATACACTTTTTTTAATCACATTGGTCACAAGTGAATATGAGCTCAAATTTAGGACAATCTTAGTTTCCAAACTGGAAATTTTTTAAATTACAAAAATGTAATTCATCATAGAGAAACATTCTGTCTCTTGGCTCCCGAGAAATGACTTGGTTACTGCCTCCTATAAGTTTTTCACTGCCAAAGCTGGAGTTAGATAACTGTAATTAAAAACCCAACTCCTCTTAGCAACCCTCTTCCAGCTCTTCAAAGCTTGCCTTGTGACTTAGGTACCAGTCCAGGATGAGGGGCTGTGAGACCCTGACCATCTTTTCACCCTTCATGGCTTACCATCTTATTTGAAATGAAACAGCAGTCCCATCTATCTGTTGATTCTTTTCCCTACCCCCTCTGGATAAAGTTGTACCAGTCCTTCTTGTTTGTTTGAGATGGTTTTGCTATGTAGTTCAGGCCAGCCTGGAGTTCACTATGTAACCCAGGCTGGCCCTGATTTATGCAAATCTTCCTGCCTTGGCCTTCCAGGTGCTAGGATTATAGGTGTGCACCACTGTGGCTGGTTCAGTTGTTTCTTTTTTGAAAAATACCTACTGAACCAGTTTAAGTTATAGATTAGTTCTTCCTGTCTTTATTGTCTTGTTTCAAGGTTTAGATAATTTCCCTTGCATTTTAGTATCACTTGGTAATTTTAGATCTCAGAATTCAGTCTTTCATCACAGTTTGGTTTATGGCTTTAAAAAGTCATACTGAAGTTTCCAGGAATATATTTACTTGGCTCTCAGAAGCCTGCCACATTCTGGCAAAACAAAAGGATGTTTGTACTGGTAAAGAGGTGGAGAACGAGGCTAGATACATTAAGACCAACAGCCTTACGTCTGGTCACTGTGTAGTGACTGATGAAGCACCCTAAGAGAAGCTACGTACAGCCAAAGAGCTGCATGACTAAGGGAAGATTATTTGTTTATTTGAGACAGGGTCTCACTGTATAGCCCAGGCTGGCCTTGAACTCATGGTGATCCTTCTGCCTTAGTCTCTCAAATGCTGGGATTACAGGTGTGTGCCAGCGTACCCAGCAGTAACTGAAGATTATGTTAGGAATTTGATTTTTATCTCCCTCAGGAGTCTGCCAGATGGCCCTGAAGAAATGAGTAATTGCACTTTCTTGAATATAACTATGAAGTTGGAAATACTCCTATCTACCAGAAGCCTACATCAAGATCAAAAAATGGGAAAGTAAAAATATAGGAAGCAAGAGCCAGATGCATTTGGCCTCCAACTCTGGCTCTACAAAGGTGAAAAGGATTTGGCCACCTTAGGCAAGTGCCTTATTTCCCTGAACTTCCAGGGAGAGACAGTCTCTCCCAATACAAGAGGTTTAAAGGCCTAGGCTCAAACCCTGGCATACAAGTACTTTAATTCTTTCATGTTGCTTTCCTCAAGCTTTAGCCATTAGTATGGGCTCATAGAAAAGCAATTGGGGGGGGCTGGTGAGATGGCTCAGTGGTCTAAAGCACCTACTTGGAAAAAGCTTGGCAAAGCACAGGGACCACGGTTCAATCCCCCAGCACCACATGCCAGCCAGCCCCGCCCCCTGGTGGGCTGAGCTGGCCACACACACACACACACACACACACACACACACATATAAAATAAAATAAAAATTAAAAAAAAAAGCAATTGGGTCCCATTTCTGCCACTGACTGGCTGGAACTCTGCATCTGTAGAATGGAGAGAAAGCCTCACGCTCTCAACTGTATCTCAAGAGCCTTAAAAGTATCTTGAGACCCTCTCAGGCTCTGAGGGACCTTGATGATTGCCTATGAAGGCAAAGAAGTGACTGAAACTGTGACAGTTACAGCAAAATAATAGATAAAAGCAAAACAAAGCCCACAAGAGTTGATGTGAAGGTGCACACCTATAATCCTGCATTCTGGGAGGCTGAAGCAGGAGGATTGCAGATTAGAGCATGGCCTGCACCTGAGTAGGGCTTTCAAGAAGAAGGTATTGGAGGCTTGGTGATGCAGCTCAGCATGAAGGCCCCGGGCTCAATCTCAGTACTCACAAGGAAGTATGAATCCCACTGGCTGTATTCAGATTTTTCTTTAGTAGCTATCTGATTTACTTTCTGTATCACATTTCTGCAACCATAAAAATGAGGATCATGATAACCTACTTTATACTTTAGAGGGCTGCTGTGAAACACTTAGCTCATAGAAGTTGCTCTGATAATATTAATATCATCATCATGTCCTATGACTCAAGAAAGGAAGACCAGGCTTAGTGGAGAAAGATGCTCTTTACTTTGTTCCATGGCCAGGCCATCAGTTGTCCAGTTGGCACAGGGAGGCTACCCCTCGGTTTACCCAGTGCTTCTGGGGCCTGTCTGTTGGAAGCTCAATGGAGAGGACATAGTTGGTGGAGTGGCCAGTAGTGGAGAGGACCCCCCTCCGGGCACTTGTTTTGTAGACTGGACACATGTAAATGTTCTCATGCAAAAATAGTGCACTCTCCCCAGGTTTCAGCCAGATGATGGGCAATGAGTCGTACAGAATTTTGGGGAGAGATTCTCCAATCTGCTTCATATTCCTGTCCCAACGGGCACCTTCTAGGAAGAGTCCTTTTATGTAGGCCCCATCTTCTGGCTTACTCTCCATGGCTGTTTCTTGCATAGTTACCTGGAAGAGTAGAAACTGTGAGTTCCATAACCTGCCATCTTCCTATCCAAGGTGCCTGGTTTCAACATCTGCCGCTATGGGGTGCATCTCAGAGCACAGTGAGGCTTCTGGGACAACATTTCTGCCTGATGCACATGAGCCAGGTCTGAGTCCCAGGTGGCTTCTGCCCTTATACGTGAGGGTACAGAGAATGCACTGAAGTAGGAGTCAGGAGGCCATCTGACTCTGCACATGCCTTGCATTTTTGGACCTAAATCTATGAAGTAAGTCATTTTAATTCAGAGTCAGGCTGGCAAAATAGTTTTGGAAGTGGTGAGAATAAATCCTGGTTTGATAGTTTTGATCAATTTTGTAGTGAAAAACTTCTACCATCGTTGATTTCAGACCATCAACCAAGAACTAGTTTGCAAAACTCATGCAAAAGTGAAAACTGGCTCCAGTGAGCTGGTGTGAGTGTGCTCTAGCACACCACTTGCTAGATGGAGAGTGATAAAATCACATTCCTCTCAGGTAAGTGTAGAAAGTGGTCTAGGATAATAGTGATGTGTAGTCTAGGATAATAGTGATGTGTGTTGCGGGTTTTTTTAAACAGACAACACACGCTCCCTTTAGATTTGTTGTTGCTGTTACTGAATGGAATGTTTTCCCCAGTACTGAGGTCTACCTAAGGGCATTAACATTCTTCCCAGTGAAGGGTCCACCATGTTGAATGGTCCTTTTTCCTGGTATGATATTGGCAGAATTCTTTGGAAACATTCCTTTTTATATATCCAGAGATAAATGCTTGGAGTCCTTTGATATGTAGAGAATAGTTTTTGGAGCTATTCATGTTAAATACTTAATATGTAGCATCTTGTAAGCATGCAGAGCTTTTTTTTTAT